TAAAATTGATTAATCAAAGCCGTCGGTATGTTACTACGCGATTCTATTAAATTTGAGGTGTAAATTTGATAAGGAGAGTAGGAAAATTTTAGGTAAGCGACGACCATGAAAATTCTCGACGAGTATTTGTCTGATTAAAACAATTATAAAGAAAATATATGCTATTGTAATCTAATTTTATAATATTTAATAAATGTCTTTATGTAGTTAATTTGTATTAATTCTGTATTTGTGTCAAGACGCCTAAAGTAGTGCAATTATTTTAATTAATTTTAACTTTATACAAATGTATTTTCATTTCATCTTCTTCAGTCTTTGTTAAGACAACTTCAATTCATAAATAATCCATATTTTTTATATATATTTTTATATTTATATATATACTAGCTGTCGTACCCGTCTTCGACGGGTTTTAGTTTCTACCAATACATTTAAGTTTCTACCAATCTGGAAAATCAGGAAATAGCTAGGGAATTTAATTTGACCGGGAAAAAATAATAATTAGTTACCATTATAGCTATTTTAGTAGGAAAATATTACTATTTGAATCAGTGATTGACTTTTTGTTATCAAATTAGTTATTTTAACCAATTCAAATGCAGAGAACAATATTTATCAATTTGTAGTACTTTAATTAATGTATTAAAAAAATTAAATTTTCCATACAGTTTTTGGAGTTATAGTAGAGTCTAATTGGAACTAATTGTATCGCAAGTAGACCCTACGTTACGACTGCTAAAACCTAACATAAGACCTAAATTTTAGGCTGAAAGTAGGGCTTAAATTTTGACTCGGGTCTGTTTTCATAAATATTATACATCAATAAAAATTGAAGTAAAAAGCAATTTTTTAAAAGCGAATTAATATAATGAAACTTTTTCTTAATTTGATAGGAAAATTCCCGGTTCGGCATATTCCCAACTTTTTACAGTTTTTCCCGTTTGTTAGATACCCAGTTAAATGTATTAGTATAAACAGAAAACTGTACGACAGCAAGTAATACAATCTATATTTATATGAACTTAAGAAACAGTATTTTCATAAAATAAGTAAATTTTTATAGCCATTTGTAGATTTATTTATGGATAAAATCAAGTAAATTTAAATTTGACAAAAAAGAGATAAACCGTGAAAAGTTTGGACAAAGCAGGGAATTTTGTTAAACAAAAATAGACACCGTGTTAACTTTTGTCTTTACATTGCTCAAAACATCTCTTAAAGTTAAATCTAGAGTTAAAATGAAAAAACGTTTTAACATGTAAGTTTTTGCCTAGTGGCATAATATGCTTGTATTGTATCACAGGTGACTTACAATTCTTGACATCCTGCGAAATCATTTTAATCATAAAAAATTTCCATTTTCAATATTTCTGAACTTCTTCAAAATATTAGATTGATTTGATAAATAATTTTGAATTGCACTATTTTGACATCAAAATATTAATCAGAGACTCCAAAAATACTACTGAATTATACTTCATATAGTAATTAGTATCGATTTTTTGATATATTGAAAATTTTTTTATATTTCTTGTAGGATAGTATTTTTTGCAAAATTATGATAAAATCTGACTAAATAACATATAATATTCATTTTTAGAAAGTTTAAAAGCTATCCATTAAAAATTGTGAAATTTGAAAATTTTCCATTTTTCAAGTTTTTGAAAATATTTTTATATTTACATCTTAGTTGTAGAATAGTATTTTTTGAAAAATTATGCTAAAATGTGACCAAATAACATGTAATACTCAAATATAGAAAGTTTAAAAGCAATCCATAAAAAAATGTAAAATTTTGAAATTTTCGATTTTTTGAAAACATTTTTATACTTACATATTAGTTATAGGACTTTATTTTTTGCAAAGTTATGCTATAATGTGACTAAATAACATATAATACTCAAGTATATAAACTTCAAAAGCAATCCATGAAAAATAAAAAATTTTGAAATTTTCGATTTTTTGAATTTTTTGAAAAAATTGAATATCTCCCGTTCTAATTAATATTTTTTAAATCTGTAAATTTATAAACCTTCCTTGGGTCAATACCTAATAACCTACCAAGTTGGACTTAAATCGATTCACATGTTTTTGTGTGATTGGGGTACAAAGTTTTTGTGACAGACAAACATACATACATACATACATACATACATACATACATACATTAAATTTTTTAAGAACATTTTTGGAATCTCTGATGTCCATAATAACTAATCATGTTAACATTTTGAAGTTTTAAGCAATGTACAGACAGACATCTGATTTTATTAATAAGGATATATATACATTAAATACAATACTTGTTTAATACTTTGTTTTAAACTTTCAAACTACTTTTTAACACTTTGTTTTAAATTTGTAAGATTAACGAAACTGATTTTTCCTCTTTAAGGATGTTCTATCGCTTGAAGCAGCTAGTCAACGTTGCCAAACGTTATAAGTGTTGTTTATATTTTCAGATGAAACGTAAATTTTGTTTACAAATTGATTTATTGTAAATCTCACAGGTACCTATTGACAATTGTTTTAACAGATATGTAATTATTTCATATCGGTTTAGTATTTAAAAAATTTAAATCAATATCTGTTCATCTAATACTTTGCAGTTTGTAAATATATATGACAAACTACTCAATTCCTATGAGACTCCATGTTAAATGTTGAAAATCAAAAATGTTTATAACTCTTTTCATAGGTACATAGAGGTCACAAAAATTTAACTACATCTTTATATTAACTTTATCTATTGCTCATAAAGTTTTATCAAAATCTGTTCATTAAATCAATTATCGATATAACCTTCTTAAAAGTTTACAAATATTTATTATAAAATCCTAAAATATTATTTTTATCAGAAGATAGCTGTGCTCTACTCTCCTCTACCATTTCAAGAAAATCTGATCCTGACATATTTTGTCCAAACAAAATGAGATGTATTTTATGAAAGTTCTTTCTCGGTAAAAACGTCATGTTTAAATAATTATTTATAAAAATTACTCTCTCAATTTTAATCAGCAACATTTGATTAAGAAACAGTGACTCTCCAGGAAAAATTCTTGAAGTTTTCCATGAATTCTAACGATTTCTGAGATTTTACTGAGCATCAGTAAAACAAGTTGTTCATTAATTTCATGATCATTTAGCTTCCTTAATATAATATATACCAACTATTCAAATTTTTATTGTAGAATAATTATTTTAAAGTGTTAAGATAAAAATTTCAAAAAATACAGAATTTCAATTTTTTGTAAAAAATAAAAATATTGATTAATTTTATAAATATTGATAAAATATATACTTGATATACATGAATTGATTTATTTTCATGTCAGGAATAAAATTTTGACAAGAATTAATGAAAATTTTATTAAAGAAAAAAGTTATTTTAAAAAATACAAAAATCAATTTTTTTAAATTAAAAAATTGCTAAAATTTTTTTAAGAAATTTTTGAAAATATTTTTGTCTGATTTTAGATATTCGTGACCATAATACACATACAAAATTTTATTAAAGTCCGTCAAAACGTGTAAGAGAAAATTTGTCCACAAGAATCGGTGACATACACACATCCATTAACCGGACATTTGTTCCTCTTGACGAAATATATATATATAAAATACACTTAAAAATTTGTAAAAATAATAATTGATCTTAAGAAATTCGGAAATCGACATCACTATAAGGTTTCCTTTGAGAGGAAGAAAATTACTGAAATATTAGTAAAGTAAGTAAATAATATGAATAAATATAGTTTTCACTTGAATAGATATTCCTATTCATAATTAAATTGTATTAAAGATGGAGACTAAATAATGTAGACAAAAATATTTATATAATTTAAAAATTAAATAATTTATAACTTTGCACAAAATTTTATTTTTTTGACTTCTAAAGATGAATTAATTTCCATTATTTACAGTGAAACTTTAATTTTTTCATGAATAATTTAATTACGTTTTATTCTCTAAATTTGAATGAGTAAAAATGTTTACGGATTTGAATTAGTGACTGACTTACTGCTTTTAATTACAAAATTTTACTAATAAATAGTCATTTCTACTAATTTATTATTAAAATTCACTAATTCAATTGTAAAAAATCAGTCACAAATTCATATTAGAAAGAATTTTTACTAATTCAAATTTATAAATTACTTGTCAATTATTTTATTTAAATTATAAACGGGTTTATATTTATATTTTTAATTAGCGGATAATTCTTCAATATTGTTTTTTTCAGATAGCAAAAGACATATGATTAAAAAATTGTTTTATAAAATGGTAATTATTTTATAAACTTATTTATTTTAAATTGTTATTTCAATAAATATTGTAATTAACAGATACAAATTTTGCACTTTTTCAAAAATTACTTTTCATTGTCAATTTTTTTTCGTTTCTGTAATAAAAATTCTACAATATGGAAGTATATGTGTGTTTGTATGCGTACCATAGAAATAAACAATTATTGAATTTATTTTCAATTGACATTTCGAATCATCTGTCTTTTCAATAAAGCGAAGTTTTTGGGAAACTGCAAGTTTTTTCGAGTTTTGAATTGCAGTCACAGCTACGATAAATCCAAATACACAGGAAAAAAAAAGTCTGACTCCGTTTACACCTTAAATTCAGCCCATGTATTTCACATAAGTCTGTCCTTGTTTAATGAGGCTGACTCCGTTTACACCTTAAATTCAGCCTCGAAAACAGGCTGAAAGTAAAACTTTTTTTTTAGTGTATACAGAGGTAAGAATGAATACGTTTATATATAAAAAGATTATATTAAATAACTTATTCATTTTATTATGTTAATTAAAATTTCTGAACATATTATTTTATTAGTTTTCTTAAATAAACACATAAATAAACAATAAAATTTTATTTTATGTCTGTACAAAATGTATGTCATATTTTTTATATTTTCAATAACTATTTTAAATAATTAATTTTAAAACTTATTAAAAAAGTAAATAAAAAATATTTCTTTTTTATAAAAATATATTTTAATATATTTACTTCTACCCAACAGTCTGACGAAAATCCTGAACAATTTGGGGATTTTGGGAATAAACAAACCGTTGTCATGGATACAAGAAATCCAAATGCAGAGGTAATAATAAATATTTTTATAAAAAAAAAGATTATATTAAATAACTTATTCTTCCCTTTATTTTGCAAATTAAAATTTATGAACTATAACCTATTTAATAATAGGTTATATTTAATTTCTTACATAAATTTCTTTTGATGCATTTTTTCTTTTTTGAAATTGTAATTATCTGTACCTATTTCTTGAAGGGCTCATTAGTCCGGGGTCATTAATATACCAAATGGAAAATTTCTTGTTTCTTTTTGAATAATTTTGTTAAATAAATATTTAAATAATTTTTATTTTTTTCATTAAAAGAATTTCAATTCAAAACCTTCGAAAAAAATTAATAATTTTTAAAAATTACAACATAACCCTTCATAAATTCAATTATTATCTTCTACAATTTTTAATTAAAATTCATCTCTAAATGTATTTTTTAAAATAATTTTCCGAAAATTCTTCGAGAATTCAATTACTTAAATCCAAATTTCAATTTTTATAATAATTGCAACTGTAACTGTCCTTTTTTTAAAGTTATAAAGTTAAAATATTTTTAAAAAAATTGTAATAAAAAATTCTTTAAATTAATTTTTTAAAAATGTTTTTAAATAATTTTTGAAAGAGTAGTTTTTTAATTATATACAATTAAATAATTTGTAAACAATTAAAATTTGGTAAAATCTTTTACGAATAATTAAATTTTTTTTAAATAAAAAAATATAAAAGAAAATAATAAATTTTTTGAAAAATTCCCATTAAAGTTTTAAACTTGATTGTTTTCTCCAAAATGTTAACAATGATTCTCAAAAATTTTAATATTATTATTTATTGTATATATTTGAATTTTTGGAAATATATATATGTAAATGAAAATATTGAAAATAATTGAATTTAAAAAAATCAGAATGAATTCAATAATTTTGAAAATTTCCAATTAAAGTTATTCAATTTTCAAAAATAGTAATAAAATTGTTTAGAATAAATTATTTTGAATTATATTTTACAAAATCAAAATTGTTATAAAAATGTTTAATTAGGGCTTATATATTTTTAAAATTTAATTATTGTAAAAAAAATATTTAAAAATTTTATTTTAAAAATTTGTTTTAAAAAATATGGTATTCTGTTGTAATATTTTTAAGAAAAGTCAAAAAAAATTTGCATTTTTTGAAAACAGTCGAATAAGTTATAATATCCGGGTCCTGGTATTATTAAAAATAATTTTTTTGATAAAAAGTCTTTTTAAAATTAAATAAAACAGTGGTGCAAAATTTGAAAGTAGGATAAACAAAATATAAGGGATTTTTCTAGGACTACGTAGATATTTGCTTTGATCCCTCCTCCTCTCATCGTAAAAAATCGTGAATTTTTGACGAACCCCCTCCCCCAAAACTGTCGACGTGGTATATGAAGAACCCCTCCTCGGAACTATCATTAAAAAATTTATTTATCATAAATTAATAAATTACTAATTCTTTAATTAATTAATTAATAAATTTACTTTTACTCAACAGTCTGAAAATGCTGAAGGATTACAATTTGGGGATTTTGGAGAAGAAAGAGATTTATCGAATAAATTTTGTCTGCTACGAGTGAAACAGGAAGTAATCCCGTTGCCTCCATATCACAATTGGCCTCAAATTCAGCAACAACAATCTATTCTGCAACAGCTTCATAAACAACATCAGACATTTGAACAGCAACAGCGTCATATCCAGCATCGGCCTCAAATTCAGCAACAAGATTGGATTCAGCAACAGTTTCATAAACAACAACAACCTCCAATCCAACATCAAACTCTTGAACAGCAACAACCTCATATTCAGCAACAGCAACCTCCTATCTAACATCAAACTCTTGAACAGCAACAACCTCATATTCAGCATCGGCCTCAAATTCAGCAACAACAGCCTCCTATCCAACATGAAACTCTTGAACAGCCACAACCTCATATTCAACAACCGCCTCAAATTCATCAACAGCAGCCTCCTATCCAGTATGAGAATCTTGAACAACAACAGCCTCATATTCAACATTGGCCTCAAATTCAGCAACAACAGCCTCCTATCAAGCATGAGAATCTTGAACAACAACAGCCTCTTTTTTACCGTCGATCTCCTATTCAACAACGTTTCCCTATTCAGCAACAATTACCTATTCAACAGTGGCCTCTTATCCAACACCAGACTCTAGAACAACAACAGGCTGCAATTCAGCAATTCACCTCTATACAGCAACAACCAAATACTTATCAACAGCGTTCTATTCAACAAGAGTATTATAATCAGCAGTGGCCTCCTCTTGAACAACTGCCTGCTCTGAATGACAACAGTCCTCCTCAGGAACAAACTTCCAATGAAAAGCAGGCTTAAACATCCCGAGGAGGTGATTATTAATTATTCTTTTATCATTTTTTTGTTCTAAAAAGCGCATATTTTCAATCTTTTTTATCTTCCTTATGATCATCCAATCTTCTTATTAATAATTATCAATTTTAATCACGATTCTGTTCTTTTAGAACAGAATTTTAAATTGCTGAATTCAATGCTATTTCTACAACTCATAAAAAATTAGCAATACAAAATAACTTAATTTATTTATTTATTAATACTATTCCATACGACTATAAAAAAATGGCGCTAATGTATACAAAATTTCTTACGAAGGGATGGAGGGAGTAAAATTTCGGAAAATAATCCTTACGTAATTTGTACACGATCCCTAACTAAACTAATTTTTAATAAATCATATTAAAAATCTCATTAGACAAAGAATAATTTAAAAAATAAAATTTACTTAAATATTAAAACAAATTTTCAATTTATGACGGGTTCCACGTCAAGTGACCCAGGTCAAAAATTTACATGGAATATTTGAAAAATTTGTAGTTTCTGTAAAACAAAACGAAAATACGTTTTCTATTTTGGGTTTTGCTGCTGTTTTTCAACACTTTCTAATAGTGTGAACAAATGTAGAGAAAAAAAATTGTTTGACCTTGAAAAATTAAATTAAAAAATAAAATTTCATTTTTTTATCATATGGGCAGTTTTTATTTTTTTTAAAAAAATTTTATCATAAAGGTGAGGTTTTTTCCTAAAAAAAATGTATAGGTCAAAACGTGGGACAAGAACTTTTAACTGGTCAAATTAAGCATTTACTTCTGCCGTGCACCGTCCCACAGTGGAATTTTTTTTACAATTTACTATTAAAAAATGTCTATAGCTTACAATTTTTAACCGATTTGAGTGTTCTTTGTCTTAAATTAAAGAGGAATAAATTCTTAAGACATCCTTCGAGGCCGATTTTGGAGATTATAATTATTTATAATTTTTTTTAAATCAAAGTTAACAAATTAATACACTTTTTTAAAAAAGGAGGTTTATTTTCTTATTCCGTTGATGCACATGATCTAAATAAATTTAAATTCATCGAATATGACCACCAGATAATTAATAAAGCATAAAATAATCTATTTCAATTGTTATAAACAATATATAGCCCAACAACGAGCAGGGGCGGTGGATTGCAGAAGTAAATGTTTATTTTGACCAGTTAAAAGTTCTTGTCCCACGCTTTGACCTATACATTTTTTTTAGGAAAAAACCTCACCTTTATGATAAAAATTTTTTTTTAAAAATAAAAACTGTCCATTTGATGAAAAAATGAAATTTTATTTTTTAATTTAATTTTTCAAGGTCAATCATTTTTTTTCTCTACATTTGTTTACACCATTAGAAAGTGTTGAAAAACAGCAGCAAAACCCAAAATAGAAAACGTATTTTCGTTTTGTTTTAAAGAAACTACAAATTTTTCAAATATTCCATGTTAGACCAAAAATTTAAACTTTGACCCCCTCCAGTTTTTATATTTGTTTAAATAAATTAATAATATTTGGTATTTTTAATTGTATCTAATAGGACTACTGTTTCTGCAAAATTTTTACCCGATCCCAAATATTTAAAATTTTGACCTGGGTCACTTAACGTGGAACCCGTCTTATATATATTAAATTTTAATTATAACAAAAACACGTGCTAGGATTAAAAATCCCATTTTTTTGGTTTAAAATAAAAGGTCCAATTTAAAGTAATTTTTTATTGTTGAATTGTGCTATTTATTCTAACGAGTTGGTGAATAATTTTGATAAAATAAACATTTCAGGTGGCAAGAAGAAAGAAAGAGCAGGAAGATTTAATAGATTTTTAAAAAGAAAAAGGGAACGTGACGAAGCAAGAGACAAGGCAGAAATTTTATCTAATATTTTTTCCGGGATGGTGAATGAAGTATACAAGTCGACAAAAAAACAAAAAAAAATATTAAATTATGTTATGTTACGTTATGTTGCGTTATTTTAATTCAGTTTAAAAATATAAATAATTATTTACAATAAACATCGAAGCTAATATCTACATCCTGTTGTTTGTTTTATAAATAATATTTTATTAAATCTATTTTTATATTAGAAATTTAAATTAATTACTGAAAAAAATGTAATTTTTATATTAAACCCAATAAATTGATATAAATATAACAATTTTTTTAAATGTAATTTTAAATTTGAATTAAATTTAAATAGACACTGGAAAAGCGATCAATAAAGCTGAAAAAATGGTAAGTAGATTATTTAATATTACTTATTGCCCCCTTCCATCGCCTATAGTGGAACAATTCTTAATGTTTCTGAAACATTTTTTACGTCCTTTCGATAAGTAATAATGAAAATTGGAACAAATTTGAAAATACAATGAAAAAGCGATAGTTAATATCCGGTTCTTTGCAATTTTTTCAAAATTGGCTTATAAAAATAAACCAGAAACCATACCATAGCTGAAATTAAAAGAATTTTTTTCAATTCGACTTAATTTTTTCCTAATCCTTTTGAATTGAAACTGATGTCACAAAACTTTTAGATTAAATATTTATTATGCACGGTTAGAATAAATAGTAAATATTATATATAAAAAATATGTGAGAAATATGATAGTATTTTTAAATTTTGTATCAAACGTGAAAAAAAGTTTATTTTCTTTTTAACATTTAACAACATTTTTATATTCATTTCATTGTAATTTAATTTTTGCGCTACAAATTTATTCAGATTTTTTTTATATCTACGTTTAATTAATAATAATATTTTTGTAATTCTACAATAAAATAAATAAAAATATCATTGTCGATTACGTGACGATTACTGAAAAATACCGTTTAACACTGTTTAATAAACTTCGGTCGCGAATATAAATGAAAACCCCATCTATCTACAAGAACAGAACCATTGATATTTTATTATTATCAAAAAAGGTATTATATTTTACGTCTCTACAACAAATTATTGAATTTTATCAAAAATGACAAAACAGTGCTAAGATTTCGAAAACAATACTTTACACATAAACTGAATACAGAACCCCAATGGGAAATGCCAGTGTCGTGCCGATGTTCACCACTGACTTAGTACTCAGACGATTGTTCGGCGTAGTCTAGCCGAGCCTCGACAATTAGTGCTGGCGCAGTACAGATTTTTTGTTTCGCCAAAGCTTGGACAAGCCACGGCGGCAAGTGCTGGCTGAGTATAGAAAAATTGTTTACAACGCTCTTTGCCAACATTGCTTTTTTGACATAAACTTGAACAAAATTATAAAAAAAAGTTTATGAATGTTAATAAATATAAATTTATTGAAAAAAATTAATATTTTACTTTTCAGTTATTCATTTTTTATTTTTATTAAATTTAATAATAACAATTTAACATAATTGTATAATTTTGTAAATAATAAATTATTTAAACAAATTAAAATTATAAACAAAATTTAAACTTTAATCTCAATAATAATTTGGTTCCTATTAAAATACTATTATACTATAATAAATAAATATATATATATATATATATATATATATATATATATATAAATACTATTATACTTCTTACTATGAATAAAAAATTATTAAAAAATTAACACGTAATTTAAGAATTACGTAAAATGTTAAATGCAATAAATAAAGATTACTTTATTTATTGCATTTAACATTAATTTAATTATTAAAAATTTAGTTTAACTTATTTTACTTCAATTTATTATTTCTAACGTATCCCTATTTTTTCTCATCTTTGACTCAATAATTGTATGTCTGAATGATACTGAGATATTAATACTTTACTGTACACATATGTGTCGTTAGCATAGTGGTTAGAGCGTTAGTCTGTAGGTCGTCGGTTCGATTGCCCTCGTCAGCAATTTTATTTATTTTCATAGGTTTGCGATATTTCTGATGGCAATTCCAATCGTTAGGTACTAAAATATGAAAATCTAATGCACACTTACTGTAATTGTTTATTATTTAATTTTTAAATGTTATAAACAATTTTTTTCTACTTTATTTACTATATCCATTATTGGTCTCCATCTTTAAAACAATTTCTTTAAGAAGAGAAATTTTATATTATGAATAATAACTATTTATTAATATTATTTACCATTTTGTGGTTAAATTATTTATAATTATTAATTTACGACTAATTAATAACAATACGGCATTTATTGCGGCAATATTCTCAGCCAGCACTGGTCCAGTGCTGCGCCAGCGCTGTCTGGCAGCACTGGCAGGCAGTACTTCGCCAGCGTTAGACAGCGTTATCATCCCAGAGTTATGCCAGTGCTGGCGCAGTACTCCGCCAGTTGTAAATTTCCCATTGGGACATTAAAAAAATCTAAATTTCTAAAATGCCATTCCGTGCATGATTTTGTACAATTTAACTGTTATAAATTATGCAATGGAATAATAGAAAATAAGAAAGTTTGTTTTAGCTTAAGAAATTTTGAATCTGCCCTTTTTTACACCTTTTAGAAAACTATATTCAAACATCACCCACTGCTTCTAATTCAGTTTTAAAGCCCTATCGTTTGGTAATAAGCATAATGGGAAAAATTCTAATAATTACTCAAAAAGACATCGTTAACGTTTAAAAACTGTAATTCTAAGATTTAATACTCCTTTTTACCTCTTTCCAAAACATCTTTTGAAAAATCACGGTCTGTTCTTGACTCACATTTTGACGCTCTATCGATTGGTAATAAGTATTATGGGAACAAATTCTAATAATTACTCAAAAAGCAATCGTTAACGTTTAAAAACTGTAATTCGAAGATTTACTGCTCCTTTTTACCCCTTTCCGAAACCTCTAATAAAACGACTAAAACAGTTTCGGACTTCTTTTTTGACACTCTTTCCACTCGTAGTAATTAAAATTGGAACAAATTTTATTATAGACTGGTAAAACGACCGATAAACTTTGAAAATCGCAAAATTAACATTTCAATGTTACTTTTTACCCCTTGCCGCAACCTCTAATGAAACGACTAAAAAAGTTGCTGACTCCTTTTTTTATGCTCTTTCGAATGGTAGTAATTAAAATTGGAACAAATTTTATTATAGTCTGAAAAAACAATCGTTATATACTTTGAAAAAGGAAAAATTAAAATTTTAGAGTTACTTTTTACCCCTTGCCGTAACCTCTAATGAAACGACTAAAACGGTTTCTGACTCCTTTTTATATGCTCTTTCGAATGGTAGTAATTAAAATTGGAACAAATTTTATTATTGACTAAAAAAACGATCGTTATACTTTGAAAAAGGCCAAATTAAAATTTCAGAGTTACTTTTTACCCCTTGCCGCAACCTCTAATAAAACGACTAAAACAGTTTCTGACTCATTTTTTTTTCTCTTTCGAATAGTAGTAATTGAAATTGGAACAAATTTTATTATAGACTGAAAAAACGATCGTTAAACTTTGATAACGCAAATTTAAAATTGCTATGTTACTATTTACCCCTTGCCGCAACCTCCAATAAAACGACTAAAACAGTTTCTGACTCCTTTTCTTATGCTCTTTCGACTGGTAGTAATTAAAATTGGAACAAATTTTATTATAGACTGGTAAAACGACCGTTAAACTATGAAAATTGCGAAATTAACATTTCAATGTTACTTTTTACCCCTTGCCGCAACCTCTAATGAAACGACTAAAACAGTTTCTGACTCCTTTTTTGACACTCTTTCGACTGGTAGTAATTAAAACGGGAACAAATTCTAATGGACACTAATAATCACGTTTTTAATTTCGTTAAGGTTTTAACGTTACGTTCTTCAGCTCAATGATATTTCAACCTGGTGAGCTGAAATTGGGTACACATACGTATTTTCACGTCTAGATTACAGGAAAAATATAGCAAACCTGATTGGCTGTCATATTTGCGAACTAGTAAGGATATAACTCAAATTTTTTCAAAAAAATGTCAAAAAATGATTTTGTCACCATACTGAATTTTTACATATCGTCACCTATTGGGCTAAAATGCGGTACACATTTAGATTTCCAATTGTAGATTTGTGGAAAATTATTGCGAACCTGATTAGGGGTCATATTTACGAACTAGAAAGGAATTAAATTTAATTTTTTCGATAAATTGTCAAAAAATTACCCTGTCCCCATACCGAATTTCTACATATTGTCACCTATTGGGCTAAAATTCGGTACACATTTAGATTTCCAATTGTAGATTTGTGGAAAATTTTTAAGAACCTAATTGGAGATCATGTTTGCGAACTTTCTTAATTCGCATATATTACTTTCAATCAATCATATTTTTTACCCATATATCTTTGTATAAAAAACGAGTTTAATTTTGGTGTACGGAACCCTCGATTTTAGTGCGAGTGTATTTGACTTTGTATTTACAGTCGAACCTCGATAAGTGAGAAACCTCTATAAGTGAGAATAGTTATCTAGTCCCTTCATTTTTACATGTAAAAATTTGTATAAGAGAGAATCTGTAAGTAAAGAATCATTTTTCTCGATTAGACCTCTATAAGTGAGAGAAGCGTTTCTCGGACCTCTGTAGCTGAGAATGATTTTCTTGATGAGACCTGTATAAGTGAGAAAAGCGCATCTCGGACCTCTATTAGTGAGAATTTGTGAGCAGTAATTAAAATTTGAATAGACGTGTTAGAACAAATGGCTCTTCTCGACGAATATTGATAAATCAGCTTATGACAAAATTTATGAGCTTGAAAATTACGTATATCAAATTTTTGATTACGTAAAAGTGAAATTTTAATTAACAAAACAATGATAAATCTCTATTAGTAAGAAACGAGGTAAAAAAGCAGCACTTGTCAGTAAGAACCTCTGTTAGTGAGAAACCTCTATAAGTGAGAAAAATTTCTTGGTCCCTTGAATTCTCACTTATCAAGGTTCGAATGTATATACCTTAGAATTAATTTAAACTTATGAAATAAATATTTGACGCTGGAGGGACGCGAACACCTGAACCTAACGAATACGCACTTTGAAACTTTTGTTCAGATTAACGTAAACACATGGGTCA